CTTTGGCGTGATGAATTTGTTAAAATGAATTTTCACAAGTTTCATGCAAATATATCAGCCTATGCTGAGAACAAGTCTCGTTAACACATTGAAGACCGGCACCCTACACACAACGTAGATTTTAATAATACAAATAAATACAAAGCAATAAACTCGCAGCTGACGGTAAAACATGGTACTAAAAGGAAACATCAGAATGTCTACAATCCACACAAGCAAATATCAGAACCAAATAGTACACAGAAAGAATCACAGTAGCGTGAAACTGCACCCAACATGAAAAAGCAAATTTGCGTCTCCCGTCCTCAATGTGTTAAAAAAGCAGCAGCAAGAGCAAAGATGTATTGGCTCAAAGTCAAGAGTCGTTTTTTTTTATCATATCCTCCTAGGTATCTTTTCGCTGTACCCAATGCTCTCAATACAAGTAATGACTTTCTGCGCGTGGTGTGTTAGCATGAATTCCATTTTTCTTCGTTCGAATGACACTGTTGCCTTTGAATACGATTTCGAGTGATTTTGCTCTACCTGATGATCGTGTAATATAATTGTACACATAATGATGCTGCTTGTATTTGAATCTTTCTCCCATAGGTAACAGTGGGTCTTTTCTTAATTATCTGATCATTCTATTTTAATTGTTCAAATTGTATAAGGGGAGATATTGTCATAAGTGAATCTGTCCTGGCCAAGAGATGGAAAATGGGACTTTCGATGCTTCACCTTTGGAAGCCATGCTTATATGATGTGCTTGCTGAATACCCCGGCGAACGCCCACAAGGCTTCCCAGGTCTCTCACTTGCGCTGACGAACTCGCGCCATATTTGGCGAACTTGATACCTGTATCAAGATCACCAAAAGGTATCAAGATCTGACTGTCGGATGGGTTTGGACGAACTGGTTCAGTCTGAACAAAGGACGTAATTCCTCCCAAACCCATTCGGCGAGTTTTTGTAGCGATCTGAAGTGTGTGCATAGTCCAAGTTGACCTCCATCGTGTGGCGACATTCGTTCTCTCCAACCACCAGATGTTTCAAGCTTTTACGCGCAAGGTGCAGGGCCAAGAAAGCCTAACGCAATCAAGTAGGTTCCCTGTGGAGGAATAGTCCCCATCTGGAGGGATGCTAAATTTAATTATTGTCGATATTTTTTTTCCTAAAGAGAAACGAATGGAGAATTTGGTTTCTTGTATCATTTCCTTTACGGCACATTCTTCCAGATAGAGACATCAACTGCCAATGCCAGGGACTTCTTGCATGGATTGATTCCAGGCCAGTGGCGTATTTTGGCCGAAGAACCAGGGGGAGCAGGGCAGCATAATGGGGACGCCAAACCCCACCAGAGCAATACCAGGGGAGAAATTATTGCCTCCAAGGGGGCGCCAGGGGGCGGCCGCCCCCCCCCCCCTCCCCCCGTAAAATACGCTACTGTTCTAGGTTCATACAGTGCCTAAATCATGACCAGACAACCTGCGGTTGCGATTTCCTTTACAGTCGCATGTCGATCTCGCCGCAATAAAAGCTTCGCCTATCTGCTTCCATTCCTTGCAAATCGAAAAAAGTATAAGTTCCTATTTTACGCTCAGTGATAGGCCAATTCAAAAGGTATGCTAACCAATTAAATTTTATCAGTGAAAAACAGGCGGAAAACACATTCAATTTCGACGTCTGGGTATTAGCAGGCTTACGATATTGCACCATGATTGTGTATCATGGAATCGAAGATGCCCTCAGATTGGTCACCCTTTTGGACATTGTGCTGAGGTTGAGATGTGCGGAAGTTGCTACAGCGTTTCGTTGCAGATCTGAAAAAGGGTTAGTCAAAATGACATTCATATGACACTAGTGGCCAAATTTGTGGACACACTTGAGAAAAGGGAAATTATCTGCTTAAGAAAAATATTATTATTGCAGTCAACTCTCGATAACTCAAAGCTCAAAGGAAATTCGAGTTGTGGAGGTTTTCGGATTCTAGGCCCCTACAACATTGTACATGCAATACAATTTTACGAAGCTTGCAACACAAACTCATTTTACCGTATTCGTTTGAGAAGTCAGTCAGGCGAGTTTGGCGCATTCTAGTGGAAGCCTCACGATCAACGATCGATATTTGTGTCCTTATGGGGTTTTCGAAAGGAATCGAAGTAACTTCGAGTTATCGAGAATTTCGAGTTAAAGAGGTTCGATAACTGAACCTCATAAGGGAACCTCTTCGAGGGTTTACTGTATATGCATTGCATTACAAATAATTTTTATTGCACTCACTGATAATTAAGTGGTAGGGCAAAACCGTCTAAGTTCGGATACTATCATGTACATCGTTACAAAACCAAGCATTGGTGAGCTCTCCCTCACAAATTGTTATTGGAAGAGTTATTTCTAAGGGTGACCTCGCAAATGCCTTGTTTTATAACAATTTATTTTATGGTGTCCGAACTTAGATGGTTTTACCATATTATTTCATAAGTGACATATTTTCATGGATATAAATATATGAAATGGACCTACGATGCAGAGTATATATAATTAAAAGAAAATCAATTCTAAGTGTGGTATGACCAAAGGTGATATGAAATGGTTAAATCAAATATTCTCTTGCAATCACATTTTTAATGCTAGCAGACACTATACAGTACAAGAACTTAGTCTCTAATAGCCAACAAACATGCATTTTAACCATTATGTTATAGGCCGAAATTGTGGATACGCATGACAAAATATTGCAGGCATCCATATACAGGTATCTAAAATATAGCACGTCTGGTTATATCGCAGTGAGAACAATAATTTGATTTTATAGCTGGAAAATGGTTATAATGCATGTTTTAGTCAAGTAATTCAATCTGTTCATGTTCTTGAGAGACTTTGCCACAAGTAAATATTTTTAAATAAATTTTTTATTTGTGGTACATAGGTAATGGTTTAAATACATGCTTGCTGGCTATTCAAGTTCTTGTATTGTCTAGTGTTTGCTACTATTAAAAATGATATATGTATGTATGAGAAACTATATATATATATATATGATGGAACTATTTATATCGCCGTCTTTTGTCATACCACACCAATATTTTCTTTTCAGCGTAGGCAGTGGCGTAGCCATGATTTCGCCAATGGGAAGGCTAAGCGGAACGGTCGGGGGGGAGGGGGTGTTGGCGGATGCATTTAGACCGGAGTTGGGGGAGCTTGAACCAAACGTATGAAAATGTCACTTATGAAGTAAGACCACTTCATTATCAGTGAGTGCAAGAAAATGATTTGTAATGAGATCGTAATAACGATAAATATATTTTATTTATGGAGATAATTTGCCTTTTCTGTATTGCTTCCACAATTTTGCCTACAAGTGTAGATCTAGAATGCCAGGTAACTGCTTTATACGTTCACTTCCCTGCCCGAAGAAAAAAACCGAGCAACTTAGCCTCTCTTCTACTAAAAAAAAAAAGCATGAGAGCCTACTTGCAATCTTGACCCATCATATAGAGCTTGCCCCTCCCATGTCATAAGTACTCTTTCCCCCTATACTGCTGCATTGTATAAGGTTCTTTTCTTCAACGAAGAAAATATAAGTCAATGATATCGATTTCCCAACTGAACTAAAACACTAAAATGTGATAACTAACGAACGTCCACAAATAAGGAACGTGATATAGATATACTCGAATGCTGATATACACACAGAATGCGAGGAAAAATCCGGAAACGTAGAAAGATAATATAGAGAAACGGGCAACGGCATGCCCGTGGGTATGCCAATGGGCGGGGCATTGCTCCTATTAGCCGCGGTTGTCCATTGGCCCCCTCTTCTGCCTTGGGGGCCATGATGCCATCCAGTCAAGAATCTCATTCTCGCTAGAGCTCCCGAAAGGGCTGAAACTAAATGATGGTTGTGACCATGTCTTGGGACATTTTCTCCCACGATTTCTTTCTTAGATTCTGGTTTAATGTGCAGAGTTGTGACTTCTCCGTGACATGTTGAGAACTTTGCCAACATATAGAAGGAATCAGAGCTCTCCAACGTGCAGCTCATCTCCTACTCTAATCTTTATTTGAGTCAGCTTTCTCCCTATTGAAGTCGATTTCCCAGATAAAAATTTAGGGAAAAATAAGTTATGAGTAAGTTCTTGTCATGGTAACTCGAAACTAAACTCTGTTTCTTTGGGACAGAGTAGTTGTAACTGAACCCTTTTCCTACGCTATTTGGCCACTATTCACCTCTGAATTTTTTTTAAAAATATCCTTGATGCGCCACCGTTTGTGATAATAACAAAGACATCTCCCCGTCACTTTCGTCTAATGTGTTCGTAAAGGACGGGACCTATACTTGGACTAGTTTCTCTGGTGTAACCGCCGCAGGCAGCGAGAAACGTCTTATGTTCGAGCTAACGCGTTGAAAAGTTACTCTCGTTTCTGCAATAAATTTAATAGTCAGCAGTAGGCTTTCTTTCCATGTGTATAATTTTTTAACTAGAGTTTTTGGCTCGCCTTGCAGTAAAAAAAAGAAAGTAGCTTGATCTTGTGCAACGCTGTCCTTCCAAGATGGTTCGTGAGGCCTGTCTGTCCAGAAATTATGTTCTAGCTCCTGAGTCGTATACTATTTTTATTATTATTATCTCTTAGAAGCACCTCATAATCGCGCGCAAATTATCATGAGCATAATTGAAGGTAGTTTTGCGCTTGTATATTTACTGAGTTACATATTTCCTCCAGTAACTTGTTACTGAACTGAATTCTATTTCCAAAGTAACATACCTAATAATGGACGAAAATAGCAGCACATCCCTCCCACCCCCACGCTCCTTTCAGCTCGTCTGCTCCAAACTAAAGAGTATTGCACACCTGGAAAGACGTTACGATGAATATAGTTTTGAAATTTATTTCAAGTCTTCTGGTGGACCCTGTACAGCAGCTCTGTGTCCCTCTGCGTGGTTAGCGGGGTTCGCCCCCCTAAACATGAACACGTCAGCTTTCACTATCGTCATTTCTATCCTCTCCTGCAGAAAAATGGCGCAGGACCGGTATTTTTCGCCTGAGATGTCGATGTCGCCTTCTTCATCCCCTTCAAGCAGTAGCGACGATGAAACGGGGGAGTTCCAACTGGCAGGTTATGCCCTGTATCCATGGAAAGATGGATCATCCGTCTGGCTGCCTTTGTTGTCCATGAAATTCTTTGGACAAGACTTCCTTGCCCCTTTCATCACAGTGGACTGGGAGTCTGTCTACAAGCAGAAAATGGGACCTACTCGTGACCGGTGCGCCTCTTTCACCTTTCGTTAATATCCCTTCTTAACAGTGTGCGTAGAAAGCCCTGTCACCCCTATTGGAAAATGAAAATGGAAAATCGCGTCGTTGAAAATAACATACTTAAATGACTACTATCCGTTCTTCAATGGTGCTATTACTGGTGTCTGCCATCTTTCATTGCTAAGGTTATACTTGTTAATCTTGAATGAGAACAAAAAATGTTATGTTGGGGGTAACTGGACTTTGTGCGTACCCTGTTGTTGAGTGTGATTCTGCTAACCTGCATGGCTGAAGCCATTACGAAGGGCTTTTTGAAAGGAAGGAAATGTAGTAGTAAACAGGCAGCGTTGTGTTCTCCCGTTTCACCTTGCCCGAGGGAGACAGACTCGTGCGTCTCGGTTCCACCGGTCCCAGACAGAGAAACCCAGGCAGAGTGCAAGACAAATGCAGACCAAATAAATTTTCTCCGTCTGAACAACACGTAGCAAGGGTAGACATCTGCATTCTCCTTCGCGACGCGATTTTCCCCTCATTTCTTCCCTCGCCCCCATCAAAAATTACAACCATCCTTCAAAAGAGCTCGCAAAACAGCTCTCTGGATGTTGGGTGCGTGGACGTAAGAAGAGTTCAACTGAATCACTTCTCCGAAAGCACTCATCAGTTTCCCTGTCAAAAGTAGAGTTCTTATTTTCATTTTCTCGGGGACCGATTCCCACCCCCGATCGAATAAGGCCTCCTCCACCCATATTTCTTCCAAATGAATGGCATAGGACAAGTGCAGCACATTTACAACTCTTCCAGTTCACTGCATCATCGGTACACACACGAATGGAATGGGATGGCATTAAGAAAGTGGCTTATGGATGTTAACACCAGACGGGGAGGGAAAGGACAGCGTCTAGACAGGCAAGAAAAACTTGATTTTCCTTCTATTTGCGCGCCCTGGGCTAATCATATGGCCCCCCGCATGCTCTATATCATCAAATGCTAATCGAAATCTTTGGGGGTGCAAATAAGCATCGTCCCAGGAAGACCTGAGAATCACATCGAAAAGCTATTCATACAAAGCACTTGCGAGAAAAGTACAAGTAGAAAAAGAAAATTCAATTGAGACAAAAATAATGCAAATAATAAATTTTACCCGGAAGTCATTCATCTTGCGTTCCTGTTTCTCAGCTACACTTCATGAAAAAATTCCATCTTCAGTTGTTTCATGTAACAGAGATTCATAGCAGTCATTTTGTCACCTTTGTTTTAAAAAAAATGGAACCACCTTATAAACACCATGACCACGCTGGTTTATTTCGGGGATAACAATTGGAAATCGAAATGCAAATGTAAAAATTCTCGAATACATTGCTCAAATTAAATCTCCAATATGAAATAGTCGCCGGTGCGTGTTTTGATCACTTTGGGGCAACCCCGAAGGATAACTTTTCGAATAACTAAGATTGTCTAATCTGATACTGTATCCCATGGAATGACCACAATAACAGGCGAAAATTACATTGAAAAAGCCCAAAGCGGACTGGGTCAATGAAATATGATCGCAAAAAGCCGCTGATCTCTATATCCCCAATCACGTGATGCGGCGGCGAGTGTATTATTTTTAAAATGCTTTTTCGCCCCTTACCCACGCATCCCAGAACTGGGTATTTAACGCTTCAGCTCATTTGTTTGTGCAGTTTAAATTCCATTTGGGATTTTTTAGATGTGGAATAAACATGGTTTTGCTAGCCGTTTCCAATTGGTTCACTGCTGTTAATTCAGACTTATGTCAGTTGAGATGGAACAATAACATAAAGCTGGATCCAGGTTGTTTTCCAGCTGGAAATTCCCTGCTTTTTGAAACTGGTTTCGGCTAGCTGATTTCAGCTGGGGTTAGCAGCTGGATAAATTGAAACTTATTCCAGCTGGGAACAAGCTGGTGGATCCCGAGTGGTTCAAACCTAGTTTCGGTGCGGTATGTAGCTGTGAATGCGGGTGAAATTCATGCTCTCAATTTCAGCTAGAAACCGCAGGTTATATAAATGCAACTAGGAACCGGTCAGTGTCTCCTCAACGGTTCAGCTCGCTCAAGGAATTGCCACTAATTCCTAGAATTACCTATCTGCGTGCATGAATTAATGCATAGTACAACATTTCGCTACATTACTTGCATAATTAGGCATCTTGTGGTGTTTTCAGTTCCCTCCTTTGCATATTAATGAAACCTGGGATGACTGGAGGATGGGTATCCTTGAAATTGGAATGGCGTGGCACCTCATCGCCCCGGAAAAACGGCTGAATCCATTTGATGAAAAGGCCACCAGTAGAATGTTGCACATGTGTGCAGAGAGAATCATTGCTTGGAAGGAAAGGGGTGGTCAAGAATAGATTATAGAGATTGCAGTTAGATTGTACTGCTTTTTATAGCAGGGAACGAAAGCACTATATTGCCTGAATAAAACATCGATTGGTTGATCGTATGGAAATAGCCTACAAAATATGTCATTAGTGGAAATCTGGAGGAAACTCAGGAAATATTTTGCTTTCACTCACACATACCGATGGAAGTGAAGAGACAAACTGCCCGGCTGGTGAAGCCCATATGCTTTCTAGCTAATTACCAGCTGGAAGTTAGAGCCGCTTCCAGGTAGAAACTCACTGGCTCTAGCTGTTGTCTCGCGAGATATGCAGTTTTCGTAAATTGTGTAAATGGGTTTGGTTACCACGCATTTCTTGCTAAGATCGTCGCGCGGGGACGGTGACGTATGGTTGCTGATTTGCACTACAGAAATGTGAGCGCCCTATCCATGAGCAAGGTGTCCTGGGTCACAGTCTTCGAGAAGATGTGGGGAGAAACCCTCTGCGCTCTTGTCCCGGAATCTCTGTGGGTTATGGTAGAGATTGAGAAGGAAGATGAGCGCTTTTCCCAGTTCCTCAGTCTGCATCACATGGCTAAAGTCAAGTTCATATGCTCGGTGAGTCTCCTACTGCATCCCATCTTTTAGTTCTTTTTTAATATTTATTTTCAGCAGAAACGGATGCATTCTGTTAATGGCTGTCGAATGCCAGGAATGAATGACCGCTTATAGTGTCAATGGTTGAGGATGTCACCTTCCATGAGTGAAGTTAGTCAATTTTTGTCTGAGTTCTTCAATCTATTTATCACGAGTTGCAAATGATCAACTGTCTTATGAAGTTCTCCTAGTTACATACACTGCTCACAAAAATTAGGGGATATTTCAAAATGAATATGAAGCGATAAGAAAAAGAAGCATTTGATTTTTTTTTATTAAACAAGAACATCAGAAAAGCAAACAACAAGACAAAGAAAGTTGTTCGATTATGCAAATGAGATGCAAAACCAACTTTTATTTCATTGGTGAAAATGCACTATACAAAAGGCTGAAAGTACTGGAGTATCTGCACGTTCCCTGATCTTGAAAGTGCACATCCTGCAATTTCCCAGCCCTTGCAATGCCCCTGCAACACGATTTGCCCGAATGCGAAGCCTGGAGAGCCATAGGACGTCTTGAAGCTGGTCAAACACAGACGACAGTGGCAACAGCACTTGGAACATCCCAAAGCGTGATTAGCAGACTGTGGAATCGCTTTCAAGAGACTGGCACAGTACGAAGAAGACGAGGGCAGGGTCGCCCATCTGCCACAACAGCAAGAGATGACCGCTACTTGACCTTATTGGCAAGTAGGAACAGGCGCAGCAATGCAACAGAGCTGCGGGGACAGTTTCTTGCTGCCACTAGACGACGGATATGCACCCAGACCATACGAAATCGGCTCCATCGTGTTGGACTGCATGCCCGGCGACCAATGGTATGCATTCCGTTATCTGCTGAACACCGTAGAACCCGTAGAAGGTGGGCTGATGAGCATCGTCATTGGACCCGTGATGAGTGGTCAACTGTCCTCTTCTCTGATGAGTCACGGTTCAGTCTGCAGCCTGACAATCATCGTGTCCTGATCTGGCGTGAACGAGGAACACGGGAGAATCCACGTTTCATGCGAGAAAGGGACTCCTTCGGTGGTGGTGGAATCATGGTGTGGGCTGGCATCAGCATTGGTGGTCGTACCGACCTCCACGTCATCAGAAACGGATCGCTGACTGCTGTCAGATATCGAGATGAGGTCCTGCACCCTATAGTGGTACCCTATGCTGGAGCAGTTGGAAACAACTTTCTTTTCATGGACGATAATGCAAGGCCCCACCGTGCGCATCTCGTCAACAACATGCTTCAGGAGGCAGGAATCGAACGCATGGACTGGCCTTCACGTTCTCCAGACCTGAATCCCATTGAACATGCTTGGGATGCACTGGGAAGACGTCTGGCAAACCGTCCAATGCCTCCCACAACACTTCTTGAGCTGGAAGTTGCCCTGGAGCAAGAGTGGCAGAGGATCCCACAAGAACTGCTGGACAATCTGATCCTGTCCATGCCCCATCGCTGTCAGTGTGTTTTGGCAGTCTTGGGTGACCATACACCCTACTGAACAGTCAATGTGTGGCACTCTCGTCCAGTTTGACATGCTTCTGTTCACCCCCACCAATATGTCACTTGCTCTCAATCACGATAATTGAGTTTGCATCTCATTTGCATAATCGAACAACTTTCTTTGACTTGTCGTTTGCTTTTCTGATGTTCTTGTTTAATAAAAATAAATCAAATGCTTCTTTTTTTTATCGCTTCATATTCATTTTGAAATATCCCCTAATTTTTGTGAGCAGTGTACATGGTTAGTGTTTGGCATGCTTTAGGTGTCCTTCCAATATCCATTATTGGCAGGTCATATTGGGCTGATATATTGGATTCACTAAATATTGACCAATACCAAAAATGGATAAATTATTGCATCTCTTGGTGTAATTTACTCACATTATTTTTTATTTTGATTTGTATCTAAATGCTTTTGTGACATGCCTTTAGAATTATTCTATGTAAGACTCAGCTGTTGATCATAAGCATCCATAGTGCATCTAAAAAATGACCTATTATATAAGAAAAGAAAATTCCCAGTCATTTAATTGCACCATTATAAAAATTTCCAGCAGACTTAGTTTTTTATTATACATATATTTGTACTAGATTCAGAATCTTATGTTCAGAATAAATGGTTGAATTTTTTAAAATAAGGATTGGGAAACATGCATTATATCTGCATGTTTGAAGCTTCCAATATGTTATTAGCAACCAAAACTGATGGTTGGCCATGTAAAAATCAGATATGTGGTCAGTTGCATTTCTGAAATGTAGAACAGTGGAGTTTTGACATGTAATCTATTTTAGGCTGGGCCTTAAATTTGCCAAGGTTAATTTTTTGCCTTAGGCCTAATCAAAAATGTATTCTCCCAAACAAATTAGTATGCATGTAGACTGTGGAGGCATACTGATGAGTTTTGCCTTGTTTTAAAAATTGCCAGTCCAAATGCCTGCCAACTTTGGGCCCAGTTGCATGTCATTATTATTCCTTATGTTTCTTGAAGCATGTCCATGCTTTTGTTGTATTAATGTTTCTATATCACATTCTTTTCTGAAAGTTGTGTGTGCATAATGTACAGAAAAGATATTGAGGTATGTGTTCATGTGCACCACTATGTGTAATTGTACCCACTGCTTTTCTGTACATGGAAGTAAAGGTTATGACAAAAACATTTATTTTAGGGAATGATGAGACAAGATGCAGTTGCCCTGTTTTGTTGTCATGGCTAAGAGACACGTAAAACAAAAAAGGAATAATGGACATGAAATAGAGATGGTGACATTAATAAGACTGGCTCTTTCCCAAGTTTCTCTTCTTTTTTTTGAAGCATGCTTCTCTAAGGGGCATTATCCTTGTCTTAATTGCTGCATATCCTATGAAATGACTCTGGTGGATAGAGCTATTATAACTCAGTAATGGTATCCAAATCTGATAATGATGATGAATAATCTGATGATAACCTGATGTGCAAGGGAAAGCAATGCATCCAAACCTGAATCTTCCCCCTTAAGAATTCAAATTCCTTCTAGATGACCCTCATGTAGATGCAGCTAACTTGGATATCTATTCCTTCTAGGTTTCTGATCAAAATTTTCTATGTAATTTTTAAATTTTCTCCTCAGTCGGACCAAATGTTTGCATTGCTTTTCATATTCTGTATTGATGAAAACTGTTTATCTTTATAAAGCATCCTTTCTTTATGTTGGTTGTGGGATAAACTCATCCATTCCTTCAGCTCCTAAGTCCACAAGCTTCATATGCTCCATAAAGCATCAAACTATAACAGAAATGTTGATAAATTGAAATTGACCATTGAGATAATACACACTGATTTGCAATATTATGCTTGCTGCCTTGACATATGTGAAATGGTGACCAAAAGGTGTGTGCAGAATGAATACTTGTGTGTGTGTGTGTGTGTATTGTGTGTGTGTATGAGAGCGTGTGAGTGAAATATATAATGCTATTTCTGAAAAAGTGATAGGAAATGTGAAAGACTCAAAACAAGGAGTTGTCGTCATGTGAATGAAGCAAAACCTTTTCTTATGCACCCTCGCCCTTCTGATGTCTCAGTAGAGGTTTTGTGTGAATGCAGGGTGATATTCAACAAAGGTAAGAAGCATTTATGAAGCATGTTCATATGGTAAAAATTTCACAATATGCCTCCACAGTCTGCATTCATCTGTAGATTTGTATTGCTTATTGGCAAATAGGTTAGGGTTTGCTTGATAGCATTCCATGGAGTCATCAAATAGGCCTATTTTATGATTGTTACAACTATTAGTTCAAAATAAATTTTAAAGCTGAATTCCATGCAAAGGTAAAGAGACCAGTCCCTCTTACCTCTGGTAGTATTACATCCAATTCTAGGTGAACTATTTTTAATGCTTAATTCACATCTGTTTATAAGCTAGCTGTATAAATGGACTTCTAGCCGGTTAGCCAGCTAATTAGTATAGAAAGAAGACTGCCTCAGGCACAAGGACTTCTATTTTCCATGCTGTGCTGCTTTTGAGTATAGCCTTACTCCCACTCTTATGATCTGACTGCTAAATTATCATTTTTCATCTTTAAATGTATCTCTTGGAACTCTTTTCTAGGATGTGAAGCATCTTCAGAACTATATTTGGTGGGGTAGAAATTCATCAAATGTGAAAGTCTTCTTCTGTGCTATCTGTCACTTCACTGGTAACCGCAAGGATAATGCCCTTCGACACAGTTTCATACATGTGAAACCATTCCAGTGTCCAACCTGTTCCAGACGATTCTCTCGAAAAAAGCTACTCCAGGCTCATGTGAAGAAATGCCTTTAATGTGAGTAGACCTTTGATGTTCTATTTGAAAACAGTTCATTACATTGATATACTTCCTAAAATGCTTGTGCCATTGTTGCCATTTGCCCGTGTCATGGGGGATACATACGTTCACTTAATTGTACCTACCTATCTGGACTTGGTGCTGTTGTAAAGTTTGTGAAGAGTGGCCCAACATTCTTAAGTCTTAAGGAAATAAATAGACTATGTGCAAGAAACTCATTGCCTTTTTTTTTATGAAACCCAGGACTGTAAAACTGATGAACAGTAGTTAAATATTCTAATGAGTTGTACTAGTAAGCATTTCTGAACCAGGAGAGAGTTTTGAGCCCTAGCTACTGTGGGAAGGATGTGCAACTGTAATTTTCCTGATGGTTGGGTATCCCTTTAACTCCCATGTTTTTTGCCATCAAGCTTTCATACCATTCTGGACCATACCAGTTGTACAGAAACTGAGCTGCCATCTCATGGTGGCAACCACCACCACTCAGGGATAGGTTTACATAATGTCTGTGGAACATGTTGGAGCCAACATGAGTATATTCAGGCATGGTATTGACAAGGAAAACTGAAAAACAAGTTAACTCAACCTTTGTGTGCTAAAGGGTTATTTACTAGTGTAAAATTGTATACTTTGAGTATCTCAAGAAAGTAGGACCAATTTTGTTGTTCAGCATCCTTTTTCAACTCTGCCCTGAAAGCTTTGAAAAAAATGAGGGCAAAGTCTTAAAAAAGCACAGTCATGGAAATAAAGTTGAGTATTTCATTTGGGTTTCCATGCAAAATGGTGTGGTGGCATGTCTGGTTTGATTCTGATCAAGGGATTTATCAACTTCTTGCATGCACCAAGTGTGATGTAGGGTAATATTCCTAAGTGCCCAAACATCTTTACCATGTGCTCTGCTGTATGGATTCCAATGGGGATTTGTGCTTCCTTTTCCTTGCTTGCCACCCTGCTCTAGAGGTTGCACTAATTTTGTCACATTATTTTGATAAATTCAAAACTCTTTCTATGAGACTGAACATTCTCTGGAGGGCCTGGAGGGTGAATGGGAGAAAGTGGAGAAAGAGAGGAGTTGTAAGTTCACTGTGCCATGATCCAATGTAATCCAAAGTAATCATTGGATCAAATACATAAAGCATCTTAGAAATTATCCTTGTGCTTTGTGAATTGCATGTGTGGCTGTCATTCTATCACATTTTTTAGAACATATAAATACTTTTTGCTTCACAAGGTTTTTACTCTCCATATTATTTATTTTATCTCTCTCATCTCTTACTGTGATACTGCTTAGTCCAGTTGAAACTCTTTAAATTAATTTTTCAATCATTCTCCACTTTAAACTTCCATCTGTATTCTATCAGTGAGACTGTTGCAGATTCTGATTCTGCTACATTACACCTTACTAGATGTATTCTATGTCCATGCAAAAACTTTACATTGCTTTACTTACTTACTTTACATGTGGGGATATAAGGTATGGTACTGGAAGAAAAGAAGTCATTTAAAAATTATTCTTTTTTTATTCATCCTGCTTAAGATACTGTAGCTAGACAGCATTGCCATCAGGGTTTAAGCACTGCTAGGCTGGGACATTCATAAATGTGAAGGGTTCTGCATTGGAGCAGTTATCTTATCAGCAGAATTTTGTTTAACTACTACTTACCCTTCCCCCCTTTTTTCTTACTCCTATTTTTCCTCTGTATTTCTGAGGTTGCTATCTCCATGGTGATGCTTTCATCTGTGTAGGAAGATGATGTGCAGTGCTGGAGAACTCCACAAGAGTTCCCTCTTTATTCTTCTCCTATTTTTTTGCTGTTTTACTTTCATATCCATGCCATTTATTCATTGTAACAAAACTATTGTACAAGAACCTACAAGTATACCCTTAACCCCACATGTAAAGTAAGTAAGTAAAGCAATGTAAAGTTTTTGCATGGACATAGAATACATCTAGTAAGGTGTAATGTAGCAGAATCAGAATCTGCAACAGTCTCACTGATAGAATACAGATTCCCCCCCCCCCCCCCCCCCCCCCCCCCCCCCAAAAAAAAAGTGTCTTTATTCACAAGTGCTTTCTGTCAACAGTTTCTTGAAGGTCAGATGAATGCCTTTGCATGCATGAATCAAGTCCTACCTAGACCAATTATTGTAATCTTAGTTTTTGGCTCTGCATATACTACATTCATCAAATAAGCTTCTCGTAAGTAAATTTATACTTGTGGTGCCATCAGAATTTTGAACATTCTGGGAGAATTTAGTAGTCTCTCAATATCAGTCCAAATGATTGAAGTCTCATTCCCTGGTGATGATTCCATATTTTTTCATGATGACAGGCAATTTCCAAAGTGGAAGACTACATTTGGTGTGGCAAGACTTCAGGAGGGTTCCAGGTGTACTTCTGTGCTGTGTGTCCATACAACACACACTACAAGTTCAGTGCGAGAAACCACAAGCGTGTTCATACCAGAGAAAGGCCGTTCCAATGCTCTATTTGCTACAAGAGTTTCACTGTCAAGAGCAACCTTCATAGACACATAAACACATCACATATGTGAAACAAGAACCCCAATGTTTCTTTGATTTGAAGTTTGCCTTTGCTTGTTGCTTCTTTGTACAGTTATATTGAGTAAACCTCATGAAAGGAAGTTCCTTCAAGCTTTATAATTCAGGTCTGAGCAGTTTTGGAGAAGAAATTCCCATGCTTATAATACATAAAAATCCAATCCAGTGTAGGTCAGAAACTGGAAACTCTGGTAGGTTGAAGTTCAGTGCTAACTCTGCTGCAGGTATTATTTTGTGATATTATCATTGTGGAATTCAATAAATATTCATTTATTAATTTAATGACAATGAACGCTTTCTGTACTCATTTAATAGCTGAATATGTTATGAGTATATTGGACTCAAGAGAAAGAGAAAATCAGGCTCTGCTTTGCATGCTCATTCAAAGTTTAGCCCCTGCCCCGCACAATGTGAATGATGGCAGTTTAAGAAAATCTGGTTGCTCCATGTGAAAGTTTTTATTTATATGTAGAAACCCCTACTTTCTGCTACCAACCAAAAATTGTTTTATTTTCCTTAAATATTCTTCGTTGCCTTCACCAGTGCACAAAACAGCTTCAAATTACTGTGGGTAAGAATTCAGACCAGGCAGGATAGGAGCACTCTCTGAATCCACATATAATTCATAGCACTGACTGGTTGGGCTCTGGTGGTGGTGTTACTGAATATTCAAATAAGGAAATGAATGCTCTTCAGCTACCCACTGAAAGTTGGGGACTATGTGTAAAATTGAAGAAACAAACATAACTATGGAAAGCTGTTTGCATTATCATAATTTATGCCAATAACTATGATTTTGAATAACCCCTAGAAATTCAGCATGCTTGACTCCACATGTGATCTTTTCCTTGACCCAGAGTCTAACCACAAACCTGTAGTGATTCCCTTTTTAACATTAAAAGCCTGCAGGTCATATAGCCCCTTCAAATACAAGGGTATACAACCTGCCAGCATCCTGTATAGAAGTGTTAAGAAGGTCATAAAGGCTAATAATAAGCAGTTCTGACATCTTGCCTTTCACTGCATATGAAGATGTATTCATGATGTTTGTGCTTGAGGCAGGAAAAACTCAATTCATCACAAGTGGTATTAAGTAATCAAATCTGCTCTTTTTGATGCATTTTTTCTGTGAATTTTGTTTGCTGTAAATTGCAGTCAACATATAGGAAGTTCTGAACAATAAATATAAAATTTTCAGCACAAATACTTCCATTTGAGTTCATGCCTTTCTGGTCTTTAACCCTTTCCTGTACATTTTTTTTACTGGGGAATGGGGAAACCAGGGTCAAACCAAGTTGGACAAAGGATTGGAAAGGGTTAATTTTGGGGCACTTGACTCCTATACCCCAGTTTAAGTTGAATCATATCTATAGGTGCCAATTTTTTTGTTGTTCTATAGTTGTTGTGTGTTCTTAGATCAGAGTAAAAAGAACATGTAGAGCAAGCACAGTCCAGAAATGGACTTTCATTGAATATTGGGATTAGATAGAGGAGAAAGACAAATTTATGTGGAAGCTGGAAGAGGGAGATGAGAAAATGTAGGGTTGCCAGATGTGGTGTCATAAATCCAGCTAATGATCTTGGCCCCACTGCCTGGCAGCTTCATTCCCAGAATCAAAATGATTTTGTCAGTTGGAAAGACAGGAAGAAAGGAAGGCTGGCAGAACACCCTGCTCTAATAGTTATAAATTAACTTAGCCCCAATCTTTCTCATGTTTCCTCGTACCAATCTTCTTATCAATCAACATGACTTATTTTAAGTTATAGTTGGGCAACAAAATTGGAGGACATAAGCAGACAAGAATGAACTGTAAATGGCTACTTTCTTTAAATATTGGAGTAATAAGCAATTTTTGCAAGAGAAGGTTGACTAGAAAGTTAGTATATGTTCAGATCTCAGGAGGTATTGAGAAATCACATATGCAGCTTAGTACATTGTGAGCTTATGATGTAAGGATGAAGATTATCATTTGTGGCCTTCACCTATGAACGTGAATATTAGTTATTAGAGTGGGAAATAACATAGCTCTGAAGTATTCTGCTCAGTGATATGTTGCATGTGCTCCAGGCATGACTCAAGTAAAATTTGTAGTTGGTCACCATTTGCACTATTGAATGCATGCTATGCAGAAAAAGTTGGCATAGTGTCTTTCTCACAGACTATTCCTGGGAGAGTCTGTCTTGATTCCTATTCCATTATTGCATCACTTGCCTACAGGGGATATCATACGTTCAGAGCTATGTTTGGTGCGGATGGACGAGTCGCCACCAGAGACTGTACTTCTGCCCTGTCTGTCCATACGCATCATCTACAAGGCAAGGTGTAACCAGGCACAGTTGCAAGCATACCAAAGAGAAGCCGTTTCCATGCCCTCTCTGCAACAAGACCTTCACCCGAAAAGAAATACTTCGAAGGCATGAGCTCTTAGTCCACCAAACCAGCAACAGCCCCCAAACTGTTGCTGGTAAACCATGACTCACCTGAAGTTGTCATCTCTTTTGTTTTCAATTGGCCTTCTTGTTTCTTAAAAAAATAAAATAAAATTTTATCAACTGATTGCAAATTGCTTCTGTAACAGGCAGAATGATGTCTGTTCCCTTCCTCACATTATGAACTGGAACAGCTAAGTTGTTATAGAAGTGGGTGAAGTCATATCACAACACCTCACAAGCAATCACTTTAAATGGTTTTGGATGGAATCCTGGCAATGCATTAAGTAAACTTCTCCATCATCTACCAAAAACACAGTCACAATTGCAAGTTGTCTTGCCTGATGAGTGACTACTTGATTTAGTGATACAATGAAGCTCATATTTGGCAGATACTTCATGAGTTGACATGTCATCCATGTCCTAAGGTCCATCATCTGTACAACAGCATGTGTTGCTGTTGGATGTGTAGCTGTAGAAGGACTGAATGTTTTTCCTGCTCTGTCAGTCTTGCCTATGCTGATTATCACAGCCTCAATCAGGGCACAGAGAAGCCTTCCAGGTCTGCAGTACCTGTGTACTAAAGGCTCTCACAATCACAACCTGCATATCCTTGGTTTCTCATGATAAACACCCTCATCAGAATAAAGCTGAAGATTGCTCTCATGTTGTATATTCATTTTGGCATGGAGTTGACTACTATAATCAGTTATTCAAGATCTGTAAAAAGTAAATAAAAAGACTAGTATTTTGGATGTCCTTCAATGTGAATATGGTGTCCTTGGTGCTTTTACAGACAGTGTCCTACATCCAGAGCTTTGTGTGGTGCGGATGGTCAAGTTTCAACCACAAAGTGTACTTCTGCTCCGTTTGCCCATATGTATCAGCTTTGAGGCAAGGTGCAACCAGACATAGTCACAAGCATACCAAAGAGAAGCCTTTCCAGTGCCCCCTCTGCCCCAAGACCTTCTCATACAAGTTCAACATCAAGCCACATATTGCTGCAGTCCATTCTGTGAATTGTGACACTACCTTAAAAAGCTAGATCCTGATATCTGAATTGCAATGCTTTGAGCATTTCTACTCTCAGAAAGGAATTTCAATCCAATTTTATGGTTCATTGTTAATTGGATTGGACATTCAAAATGCATTACCTACTTACTTACCTGTTGAACTACTTAGTTAACCTGGTTTTGGTGCTGGCAGTCAGGCCTAGGTATGCCTTGTTCATGACTGTTTTTTGTATGAGCTTGAAATTTTGTATAAACCATGTCTGTGGCAGTGAAACAAGGAAATATATAGCCCAGATAATACCCATGACTCCATTGCATTTTTTTCCTTTCTCAAATCTGGTTATTTTTTCCACTCTCCTAATATTCCTAGTGACAGCTTGTGAGAATGCAGTTGATGACTGAACGATATTATCTGATGCAGACGGTGGAGTACCTCCAAGATGGAATCTGGAAGAGCAACTGCACATCCTCGGCCCTGAATATCTTCTTTTGTGGCTACTGTGACTACAAGACGAACCGGCGCTATAACGCCATCTACCAACATGCCCGAACCCACTCCTCTCACAAACCGTTCGCCTGCCACATGTGTCCAGCCGCTTTCAAGTGGAAGCAGAGCCTTATGGGACACCTTGGGACTGTTCATGGAATCCTGTAATGCATTTTTAAATTTAAGTAAACTGTTTCATGTCCTTGTACTCCTTTTTTATCTTTTATTATGAATGAGAGGATAATTAAAAGACCCTTCAAGAGGAGCAAAAAAATTATTTACTTTTGAAATATCTATGTATTAACTCCACTGCATATCTTGTGCTTCATGGGAGAGTGAAATTCATTGGAAATTGGATATACAAGAGTACTACTCAATGTTCGCATGTGTTAAATCTCCAAGATGAAAGATTCCTACATCTGCTATTTGCATCTGATTTGCCTTCAAACAGGAGCTGAATCTCTGAAGTGGGTCTCCTTTAGTTGGGCTTTCACGCTGATAGGATGTGTTGGCAGTTGTTCTTGGGGTTTTATGGCATAATTGTGAATTGAAGCTATCGAAGTGAAAAGTCATCTCTTCAGATTTTTCATCGGAGTTGCTCAGGTATTTCCTTTACTTTTGAATCCAAATACTGGTATGAGAAGCCATGTGGTTTTTAGGTGTGGCAAGATCTGCAGTAGTACCAAGTATCAGGCAAAATGGCATAATCATGTTGAAGTGCATATGACATCAAAGTTGGGAGAGTTGTGAATCGGTTCACCACACTTTGAGGCTCTCCCAGGAACAAGAACCCACAGACTATTTGGCTTGGGTGATGCAAGGACTGTTTAACCAAGGGGGAGGGTGATCAAAAGGACAAGACTCCCGCCTGAGAGTCGGATGCTACACACGCAGGGGTGTAGAGGAAACATGAGGCTGGCCGCTCTGGGGCCTTATTTACGAAACATTCTGACGAACTTCGTAAGAAGAGAAAAGTTCGTTAGTGGTATTCATCAAACCTCTGCTGACACGAAGTTCGTAAATATGCTGCACAGTTTCGGTATTCACCCAAGTGCGAAAGTTCGTAACTTCTTCGTGAGTCAACGAATGATCCCGAGGCATCGTAAGTACCCGGCATATTGATACCGAGGCAATCTGCGGAAATTTCTTTAATTGGGTGTCTCAATGAAGCGAAGGCTCATTCACACCGGGCGGTTAACAGGATTCGCAAGATTTCGTCTTGGAGGTCATGAGGTCGTTCACGTTCATCAAGTGTCAGAAAAGGAAGACACTAATGCTCCTACAACGCTCTATTTTTTTCCCCTCCAGATTATTGAAAACATCTTTTGACTGATCGGGCAGTGGGGCAGATGGCGATCCACCGTCAGTCTCCCGAGGAAACTCAACTCCTTTCGCCTACGCATTTGAGGTTATTGAATATTTTACTTCTTCGTGGCAGTTCTCCGCACGAGGGAGACACAGCTCACTGCCTCAGCCACTGAATCCAATGCTTGCAATTTCATTTTCCCCGTAGCGCTTGAGCTGAATTTCCCCAGCAAAACATCGTTCGATTTCTTCAATGAGCACCCCAATTTCCTCAGATAAAATTCGATCGTCGAATACTCTTTCCTCCACTCTCCGTGATGCCCATCTTGATACTGCGTCCAGACCTTTTCCTTTTGACATATCGGAAACCTCGAGACAATTTCTTTTACGGTATGATTCAGTGGGTACGGTCTTTTAGGATGTTTTCTAAGATTAGTCAGGACCTCCAATAACGTTAAAACTTTATTTACGAGTGAAAACGATAACACGGAATGCGCGGGAAGATTGCAGAAGTAAGAATGACATGGGACTCGTGAGTCATGCTGCCAGCGTGATGAGCACGTTGGGTTCCACTCTGCGATTGGTTTCCCAGCTCCGAAGATAGGTTTTGATTAGCTGGCTCGTTATCATGGCTACGATGTTTTGTGAAGACCAAAGATACGAACTTCGTAAGAACATCGCATTCTTGGATGGATGACCATGATGTAAGTGAAAGGCTCTTTCTCCTCTAGTCATTTGTATCGGGCTTGAGGACTTCATAACACAAAGTCAGGACCCACAGGAAAGAGTTGTAAGTTGGAGGCAATCCGAAACATGGTCGAGAACACAACACGTAATTTCCCAGAACTTCCTGAAGTGAATGCCTCATGTCTTTCCTTTTCGCTTTCTCTTTGTATTAATCGGTATTAAGAGTTGGAGACCACTGCTGGGACAAAGGTCGAAGTTCAGTAATTCCATAGCTTGCAGAGCAGGAAAGTCAATCCATTATGTGAAAGATTCTGGTAACCCTGCATGGGATATCCGCCTTATAATGTGACGTCCATAACCATCACTAGACCTCCGCGGTACATATGGCTATCAACTTCGCCTGTTCTAAGCCTTCTAAGAATGAGTGCAACCATCGTCCACTTAAGTATTCTTGCACTATTTTATGTTTATGTTTATGTTAACTCAAATGCTTATGCTGTTGAAACTAATTTGTTTGTAGATTGACGCATTATGCCTAGGCCAAGGTTTCATATCAACAGTCGTATTCCTCTTCACGCGATGACCTGATCGATCAGGTTAGATTTAGGCCTAACATTAGCTTACTCGAAGCAGAAGCAATCCATTGAGCTATATTTATCAGCCGAAGCCAGTTGGACTTGCAACAATGTTGCCACGACAGTAATGCCAATTTTTGTGTCAAATGGGTAAATTGTTCAAATTGAAAAGGGTAAATAAACACAGTCAACCCTCAATGCAAGTCACCCTCGCATATCAACTCTCCTGAGAAGGGATTCTCCCCATAAGCTAATGATAGACAATCCCTTGTTATAGTGCCAGCTGCAGTCTGCTAACACCCTCATTATGTACAAGCATGTTTTTTACACAAAATTCTTGATATTATAACAAGTAGTATTGTGCTGCAACTCTCATCCAGTACTAAGCATAGCTAAGTATTTGTTGCTGCCATTAGAGGTGACACATAGTTGAGGAATACATAGCACAACTGTAGAATATCAGATACAGTGATCAGGTTAATTTTGAGTTCCTGTTAGACAAGCAAAGTTTGATACAGATACACATGCCAGTAGACAATATCCAGATAGGATGGAACTTGAATTAATCTCCCTCCTTTTTATGACTCCAGGAGTAAAGCCAATTCTCCACTTTTGCTTATATAATGTACTGTTGGAGGTAGGTTCAGTCAAAAAATTTATTTAAGCATTTACTGCACCGTCCATTTTAATGGTTTTTGAGCTTGATAATTCACTGGCACCTTATGCCATCTCAACTTCACTGCATGCCTAAACTATGTTTCCACATATTCTATCTTAAAGTTGTATGCATATTTTAAAATCTGATCACCTAATCCTAAATGACTTGAATTCATTACATTCTCATCCTAGCTTGCTTTTGATGGAAAGTGATGCTCTTGATATGTCTAGTTTTTGTGTCAGTGTTGTTTCTGTTCAAGGTGGAGAGGTGATGAACATACATTTCCTCCCCATTTAAGACTTTTCCTTCCTTCTCTTTTTCTTTGCACTTTCCAAGAATGGTGGAAAATATGGGGGGGGGGGCGGGGAAAGAGTGATTAATCCTCACCTTTTCCTCTCAGTAATTTTTTTTTGTCTGGGTCTTTACTTATTTGGTTTTCAGGGGTTTTTAGCAAAGTGATTATAATTTCCAATAATAGTAACTTTTCATTGTAATTCATGCAATTAGTGAGGATCACACAGGAATGTTTGAGGATTCAAATATGTATATTTCCTATTGGTCACAGAGACATGGTCATGCATGTGAACCAAGGCATATATAATGGCACATACAGGGTGTTCGTATTTAAACGCAACATAGGGAAGTTTTTGCTGCCCGTTTGTGGAGTTCAGGGCGTGCCTTAGAGCTCACTGGGTTGCATATCTGGAAGGATTAAACCTAACCCTGGTGTGTAGCATCCTTGCAAATATGCAACCCAGTGGGCCTTATAGCATTCCTCGACCTCCACCTACAGGCAGCAATATATTCCCTATGTTGTGTTTAAATACGAACACCCTGTATATAAAAGGCATATATAACCATCTCTCCTTTGGTTGGTCTTGCCAGCCTGGTTGACAATAAGGTCACATGACTTCATCTGCCTCTAGGCAAATAGGAAGAGGATGCAGATATGAGAAAGAAGTCTTGAGTAAGGTTTGTAATGCTTTTTTTCAGGAATGATGGACCAGACCAAATAAGGTGGAATAGGGGCTGAACAGTGAAAGAACCTGGAGAAAGAAAGGGGAGTGTTGGGAGGGGGGGGGAGGAGAATGGAAAAGGAATCTTTGAATCAAGGATAAGTAAAATAGCTGCAGGAAAGAGGGACGGGGAAAAAGGAAGCACAGGTAGGGAGGGGAGAAGTTAACTGGGGTGGGCATGCCACTGAAGACGAGCATTGGACACACATGCATCTAGCGACAGACCGTCGCCAGCCAATCAGAACGCAGCTCTTGTCTGCGTCATGATTTATGGGCTACCCATGTATCTCGAACCCATCTCCTAGACTCAAGTGGAAATATGGAAAATAATATGCTCATGGTGTCATGTGGTCTTCTGGTCAAGGTATACCGATCAAACTTGGATATATATTTTTAATTCCCACTGTATT